CCCACCACCACCACCACCACCACCACCACCACCTTGTAGCTGTTGGTGTTTTGCATTTGCAATTTCAGGAATTCCTAAGGTCCACTTTCTTCTTTTTTAATTGGAAAACACAAAAAGTTGTTGGGTTTTGTACATAACATTCAGAAAGTCAGATTTGTTAAAAGATTTGCCAGACTAGGACTAATATCGTACACTTGTTAATGATTGAAAGCTAATATTTTGCCATAAAGTAAGTTTATATGTTCAGTTCTTGCTTCCCATATTTTTTCAGTCTTGTCAAGAAAAAAAAATTAAGCATTTGTCATTTATGATATGAAAGACATCTGGAGTCTGTTAAAAAAATTGGATAAAGTGTTGGATAAAATTTCCTTTTAGGGACAGTGAAGGTATTCCACTGCTAGATTTAGCCTCCGTGGAGTTCAACATTACAAACAGAGCACCAAACAACACACATCTCCTGATCAAACAGGGTTTAGAAAATTATAATAAGGTGAGGATTTCTGACATTTATGTACTTTGAGAAAGTCTTGATTTACAAAAAAAATCATTGCATGTAGGAAAAACTCAATCTCGGTTCATTGTTCCAAAGATTAAACCTGAATGTTTCTGCAACACTTTAATTCCATTTTCTTTAACTAGTTTAAGTGGCCTGTACTTATTTGATTTATGTAAATGTCAGTATGAATATATATATTTTTATGTGCACTATGATATATGAATAACTTAAATCTTAAAGTTGCTCTGATTAAAAAAGTATTATTATTGTTATTGTTTTTGTTATTATTATCATCATCAATATATGATCTCTTACAAGCTGAAAAGTTTCTCCATATGGTAGCTCGCTGTCACCTTATCAATAATATAGCCAGATATCGTGTTTTCAGGGACGCCAGAAACACCTGAACAGGTGCTTGGAGGAGGTGTGTAAACAGGTCAACAACACTGCCACTGGTAGGTGATAGTTTCACGTGATAAATTAGTTGCAAAATTATTACAGATATGTGATCATATTGACTGTGTCCTTGGTCAGTAGTTTTTAATGGATATCACTCTTGAAAAGCACCAAGTGACAAAGTTAGGTATGGTTTCACTGTTGTCAAATCTTCCCACTACTGATATTAAAACAGCATGGGCAATAGCATTATATTCCTGTGTAAACCAGAGTCTTGAAATGCTGTCATTAAAATAACAACACAATGATGCACTGCAATTTGAATGTAATTACTCCCATACTGTCTCTTTGAAGGACGCATAATCTTCATTCAAGAAATTTCTTATATTTATTTCTATATGTTCCACCTATTTGTCATGGTATTTATTTCCAGACATAGTAAGCACCACCCTGGGTCCTGTGAGACGAGATCTGGTCCACTATGATGTGCCCTCGTACTGGCAGTTAAAGTTACAGGTAACACTAAACTGCCATTATTACCTCCACCAAGGAGGTTTTATCTCTCCTTACATTCAGTTTTTGGCTAACAGCTTTGACTTAGAGAGTTTTGGATGGATTTTGTTAAAATTTTCAGGATAGTCCAGAAGAACTCTAAGATTTTTCTAACCAGTATCCCAAAAAACTCATCTTAGAATCAATAAAATTTTGGTGGTAAATCTTATATTAAGAAATGGGTAATAAGTATTGAGCTGCTTTATTGGAGACCTGCACTTGGAATGCTTTGTCTAGTATTTGATGTGAATATAGACCCAGAAGTTGAAATGTCTTCATTGTGAGTTTTATAGACACCAATAGCAAAATATTTTAATGTGATAAGAAAACAAAATAAAAGAATTGAAACTCTTACTCGTTATTATTTAATTATTATTATTATTATGCTGGCGTTCCCCAGACTGACATTGTGATTATGGCTGCTGGCTTTGTGTTAATACAGTGAAGACCCTGTTTTTATTACTAATCTTTCCATTCTGTACTTACAGGTATTTCTTGGCATTGCTCTGTTGCGCACAGAGAGTGATGAGGATACTGATGCTGCTAGATCCAAGTTTTTACAGGGTATATATTAGTGTGTGTTGAAATATAAAAGAATTTATATGACAGAGGTTAAGGTTTCGAATATCAGAGTAATGTTTTATACCATAAGTTTTAATTTAACAAAAGTATACTATTCCGGATTAAAATTGTCACAAGTCCTTTCAATTTTCTGTCTAAATATCTTGCAATGCAGTTATAATAATCTTTCCCAATTCAGACCACACAAATGATAAAAATCCCTTAAATAAGAGTACCTGATTTTTTTTTTCTAAGGCATAAGAGGAGACATGGCATTTTTAATTTTTAAAGTTAAATTAAAAAACGAATTTATGCAGTTGGATAAAACATCAAGTCCTGAGAAGGAGAAAATTACTTTTTTTTTCGAGGTAAATTCAATTTGGCCTAAAAAAATGACAGATAGGAAACCATGAATGTAGTCGGCCTGTGATAGACGAATTACGCTAAAATTCTTCGTGATTTTTTTTAGATATCCAAGGTGACCACTTTGATGGTAACTATGATCATGGTCTTTATGGTGATGGTAACTACGGTGATGGTCTCTATGGTGATGGTCTCTATGGTGATCTTGAGCTACAGAGACATGGAACAGGACACAACAGGCAGAGAGGAAGAAGTCATTCAAACCTGGATGTTGTATTCTCTTCATCTAAAAATAGAAGGTCTGGGAAACCCAGGCCAACAGCAACTGTCACTAGGGCAGATTTAGTCACCAAGAAAGTTGATGTCAACGAGACAGAAACTGTCACAAAGGGGGACAATGTCTATGGCTTAGATAGATCTGGTGACAACCATATACCTGATGACATTGTAAATTCCACTTGGCTTGATGTTACCCCTTCATCTGACGATAGAAGGTCTGGAAAACCCAAACCGACCGCAACTGTCACTAGGACAGAAATTGCCACTGTCAATCAGACAAAAACTCTCAAAAATAATGCTGTTAATTATAGCATTGCAAATGCTTCTTTTCTTGGTACCAATCACATACCTTCCAGCACAAAACTTTACACTGGGAACAACGCTGTCCATGGGGTAGACAGCGAGGGTGGTGACGGTTTTTTATTTGGTGACAGTAGTTATAAAACCACCACCACCACCAGTGGTAGCAGTGCAGTCCTCAGTGATGGTGCCAGTCAGCTGGACTATGCCTCCAACTCCCAGGAAGAACAGTTCATGCTGGACCAGGTGAGTCATGAGAACTAGTTGAAACTATTGGGTATTGGCTTGAGTTACCAAAGGGGTGGGCGAAGTTCCAGTCCAGAAATGCATTGACTAGTCTCAATATTGTCTTTTTTTTCATTCATAAAGACAAAAAGTGTCATTTATTTACATTCTGCTTAGATATAAATGAAAATATCAAACACAAGCTGGACATGGGCCCTCATCAGACTGATGTGAGTAGATGTTGTTCCAACCTATGGTCCAGGTTGGCCGTAAGCTAACAGGATGAGTTGTTCAGCTTGTGTTTGATCATTTTCATTTATGATCCAACTACCAAGCTTATTAACATTTTTGCTCATTTGCTTAGATGTAGTTTTAAAGAATTGGACCATTTCTTAGATTTCACATTTATTTTAGGCTTTAGAAGCAAGCATGGCAATCAGGCTGGACTCCTTAACCTCAGACAACAGTGTAAGTCACCATTCACTTAAACTAGATGAGGAAGAAGATCCAGAACTGAAAAAAGCCATAGAACTGAGCAAGAAAACTGCACTTACTGACCCCATTGGCCAAATCCATCCAACAGGTAACCAAGAAAGTTTATTTATAGACGAAGATGTGCAGAGTACTTTAAAAGCTGATGAAGAGGAAGATAATTTGAAAAGAGCTCTGGAACTTAGCATGAAAGCTGAAGAAAGTGCTTCCAGATTCCAAGCTGAAAATGGCAACACTCAAGAAGAAGAACCTGCAGGTCACAGTGAAATGGAGGAGGACAAAGAGTTTCAAAAAGCTCTGGAACTTAGTAAACAGTGTGTAATATTTGGTAGCAGTACCAAAAGCCAATCTTATGTTGACCAAACCATCTCTAAATCTGCCAGTAACTCAAACCCATTTGTTCCTGCTGAGGATAAAGAAGACAAAGACCTGAGAAAAGCTATAGAACTGAGCAAGAAAAGTGTATTGTCTGACCACAATGCAAACATACATTCCCTTCAAAGTACCAGGGCATCTTTGGAGGATCAAATACAATATAACAGGGATGAGGTACAAACTTGTCATAACAGAGCAGATGGTATTGTACAAGGAACTATAAAAAATGATACAGATGTGACAGAGGAAATTGGTGCTTCAGTTTTTCCAGGTGCTCATTATAATGAAGATGGGTCTAGTCCTGGTGGTGCTATATTACCTAATAGTATAACAGACAATAACAGAAAACTTCCTCTTGGAGCTCTGTATAATGTTAGATATGGACAAGAAAAATATGGTCCTGAAATCATCCCAGATATTCATTCAGATGAAGAAGATGAAGATATGAAGAAAGCATTGCAGCTCAGTCTGCAGGAGGTTCAAGACACAAGTCTCCAGGGGGCACCAAGTGCAAACATTTCTCAAAGCGTTAAGGTATTGCAAGAAGATGAAGCTCTGGCAAGAAGACTTTTTGAAGAGGAGGCCAGAAAGGCAGGTCACTCGGACATACTATTAGCAACAATGCCACCTGGTGTCGAAAATTCTCAGACAGATGAGGCGTTGGCCAGGAGACTGTCTATGGAGGGAAATAAAACCATGGAGCACTTTGCTTTCTCTGACAACATGATTGTATCTGGGTTTAAAGCAACAGAAGACCAAGTTCTGGCAAGGATACTTCTTGAGGAAGAGAACAGAAGATTAGAAGTGTTGAACAAAGAGCAAGTGAGACAAGATGAAGAGCTTGCTAGACAGTTACAAAATGGCCAAGATGATGTTTCTCTAAGCAATTTTGTATCAGACAAGCATTCTCCCTCCAAAACCAGAACTCCCAAAGACTGTGAGAATGCTGCAGCCCTGGACAGGCATTTTCATAATGAGTTTAATATACCAGAGCGTGCTGGAGGTCAAAGATCTATGGGATCATCTGCTCTTAGAGGTCAGAGTTCAGGAGGGCCACCTGGAGGGGCAAGAGGTCAAAGGTCAATGAATACACCTCTAAAAAGCTGTAGAAGCCTTTTTAAAGAAATTAAAAATGAAAGAAGAAACTCAGAGCTGCAGGTAAGGGACTGAAATGATGATGAGAAAATTTGACTCTTTTCATATCATGCGGTATGCTTATCTATATGGTAACATTTTGCCTGGTCCTGTCTAAAATTTTGAAAACAATTGTGATTAAGATGTTGCACATAGGGGAGATTTCAACATTTTCCTCAACAAAATTTTTCTCATCTCTGCATTTTTTATTTCAAATCTTCCACAGATTGAAGCATATCGTCAGAGACACAGACAAAACCACATACGTGAATCAGGCAGCACTGCTCTGCCCTCTGGTGGTGAAAGCAAACCAACCCTGACCCCAGGTCATTCCAGTCACTCTACACCTACAGCCAGGGTCAGTTCAAGAGTCAGTCCCATTATGGCCACTGGAATAGGTAAAATACTGACCACTGTCCTCATAGTTCTCTTGTTGATGTTGTTGTTGAGTTAACATTGAGTGTGGTGTGAATGTTTAAAATGTGGCAAATTTTCACTTTCTCACACAAAGTTGAATTTTTTAAAACCTTTCACAGATTTCTGCTTTTAATGACTGATCATCGTCAAATGCTCTTACGTATCCGTATGAGACAGCCATGTCAGCATGATGAAAGTAGAGATGAAAATCTTTGCTCTTTATCTGAATATTGAGCTTGGCACCTGTAAGATTTGTATTTAAGGATTTTTAAAGGTTCATTTTCAACTCTGTCCAAGTGATAAAAATTGAACAACTTCTGCCCTCACATTGACTTTAATTTAAGCTAGAGAAGTTTTCATCATTACTTCCAGGAGGCTCAGTCAAAGAAGAGGTTATAGATGTCAGTGATGATGAAGACGGTTTACCAGATCTACTGAACCCAAAGCCATGCAAGGATTCTCCTGGTCCTAGCTGTGAGGATAGACAGCCTTCAAGCATGTCTAGTCAGGGTGAGTCTTATAAACTTTTTTTTTTACACAAGAACTTTTCTTTACTGAATATATGACTAAGACTCTGCTTTATGGAGTTGCTTGATATGGGGATGGGTTTTTCTCCAACTATTGGCAAATTTCAGAGATTTTTCTGTCAATCATTTACCTAGGATATTTCCATGTCTGTCTGTTCATCTGGATAGCCTGATCCCCTGGTAAAGATGCTCTAGCAAGATGTCAACATATTGGACATAAACAATTTCAATATTAGTTGTTGTATGAAGAAAAAATACTTTACTCTTATAACACAATGTCATTGATGATGTTCTTCTCTATCAATTTAAAATGTTTTCAGGTGTGAGCAGTTCCCCCGGGGTAACATGAGGTGTGGAGCCTGCGGGGAGAGGGGACATTCCAGAGTTTGGAAGAAATGTCCCAGTTACTGGACAGATGAGGAGAGACAAAGACGAGAGGTACGGAGTAGTAGATGATCAGTTTTTATATTAGAATCGTTATCGTATATGATTCTATTTGTTGACATAAGACATTGTGATGAAGAGAAACAAAGGAGGGGAATTAGCTGTATATTAATGGTTGTGATTGAGCTATTAGATTTGTAAATGTTTCTGGTTCATTTAAAGTTTTTAAGGTCTTGAGATGAACATTCTTTCTATTTCTTACCACTTATTTTAAAGTAAAGCAAAATTTCTCCACAGCTGCTTCACAAAAAGGGAGAGAAGTTCACTAATGGCTGTAATTTGTCCAAAAGCACACTATTTCTCGGCTGAAATATGAACAGTTACCATATGTAAACATTTAATTTTTGCTTTCCCATGAATTTTAGTTTTTGCAGTGTCCTGTACAAAATACATCTTTGCACTTGTCTTTGTGTTCATGTGTGTGAAATGAGGTTTAGTCTATTTTCTTTGGGTTTTGTTGGTAGGCTACATCTGAGAGAAAAAAGAGAAAAGCTGATGAAGAAAGGAGAGAACGAGAAGAAGCTTTAAATATGTTGGTAGGTACCAGTACAGCTTTAGCTTTGAAAAATTGTTTGGCTTTTTTTTTACTTGAAACATTTCTGTATTAAAAGGATGAGAGCTCTTGAATGTTGAATAAACAATATCTGCAGTATCTTTTACCCTATCAGTTATCCTTTACTTATTTCAGCATCAACAAGAAACAGAGTTGGAAAACCAGCGCCAAACCATTCAGCAGCAAATGACAACAGTCCTGCAGCAATATGGGGAGCAAATTGACCATACTCAGAGAAACATACGTAACATATCCAAGGCCTTTGATAGGAGTAATAAAAGAGTTAAAAAGAAATAGAAATAATGGAAGGTATTTGCATTAGCTCACAAAACTACAATTACAGTTCATTAAGAAGAAAATGGTAATTTTTTTCAAGGAATTTTGACCTTTATTTTTGATTCTATGGAAAACATTGTCAGGAAATAGTGGTTTCAGCTTTTGTAACATAAAGCCCCAAATGTGCTCCTGGTTATGCCAGACAATAATTGTAAAATCCATTTGGAAAAAAATTAATTAAATTCGTTAGGGGAATTACCAGAATTATTAGATAATTTTTCTTAGTACATTTTTATGTATATCTTTAGCGAAGTTATTAGTTTACCAAGCTGTCTTTTATGCTGTTGTCAGCTTTTATTTTATGAAATAATATGGTAGTTTTCTTTTAAATACCTGTCACTTTAAAATCACACCATTGTAGTGTGTTTTTTAAATTTTTTTCACCTTGCTTATCTGTATCTTAGTCTTATTTCAACCTTTGATTCTTCAGTTGTTAGATACCATCTCTAAAAAAGTGAATGACTTTTTATGTAGTAATTTATTACACAAAGTATAAAATACATAAAAGAATAAAGACAGTGATGATAAATGTTCTTGTTGAGATCGTAATCACATTGTATGTTAAATGAAAGAGCATGCGGCACTTATTAAATCTTACAAGAAAGACGATTCTCTTTATAAAGTAAAGCTTATTATGCTTATCACACGGCATCTCAGCCGGAATTTATAGCAGTGTCACACAGTTGGCTAGAAAATAAAGGTGTTCATCACAGTCCTGCTTTAATACTAGATATCTTTATATCTTTATACATCTATTGTCTCTGTAAACTTTAATTTGAAATAGCCCGTCGAAGAAGAATCGTCACAGTTCCCATGGTAACTGCCAGAAGTGAGTTCGGTAGGACACGCCCACTCACGTTGCAGTTGTCGCTCTCGCAGAAGCACGTGGTCCCTTGGGAGTTGGAAGAGCATCCCGTGAGATGGGTGGAGGCGGCACATCCACGGGTGACGATAGTCGTGGCACCTGCACATACAAATAACGTGATGAAACCATTAAATTGTGTGCTTGTGCGTGTGCTAGAGGGGAGCGGCCGAAGAAACACATATAGAAAGACGGACACGCTAGTTCCCCGAAGTCGGCTACGGCTGGCTTGTGGGATATAACTATATTGGTTGGTTCGTTTATTTGAACGAAGAGTGAGAGTTAATAAATTATTTAGGTACGTTTGACTGGATGAATTCAGAACACAAGCACGTCTTCACCTGATTTCTCCACGTTCTTGTAACATTTCTTAGTATAGCAGGACTTGGCGACGGAGGTCGGGTCCACCATGGTGAATGGGTCCTCACAGCCCGGATGTGTTGCCGAGGAACACGTGTAACACGGGATACACGTGGTTTCAGCTGATAAAGAAAAATTTGAACAATCAGATACAGTTTATTAACGGAGTATTGAACACGCTTGAAAATGTCCTAAAGTCATATTTCCAGTGTGTATAGTCTGCCAAAGCCTTTACCAATTTATATCGGTAGAACGCTGCGCTTGGCCAGAGAGAGGAGTGGATAAATCCTGTGTATAGGATGGGCCCTAGTTTGTGTGACAGTGGAAAGATTTAGGATTTAGAATTTGCCTTTATTTCAATAAAGAAGTATAATTTTCAGTATTGTACTTACCTGCGTCACAAAGTAGAGCAATGAACGTCGTGGAAATAATGAATAAGGTCTCCGATTTCATCTCCGTGTTTTAAAATTAAGGATTACAAACGACAGGTTATTGTTGAACTCTGAAAAAATGTCGTTACATCTCCGAAAATCTGAATTATACAGCTCTGAAAACCCCCTGGTTTACCTTCTAGTAACGCCTTACTCTCACGACGGGGACTTGACTACAACATCGACTTACTGTAGAGGAGTGGTCTCATCTTCGCATTTAATTACATGATATTTTAATTTGAAAACGAGATTAATGATAGGAGAGCAATATCATATGAAAACTGTGCCCTCAGTTTGGAAAGTTTCAAAGACATCATTATGTCAAAACGTTTGGCGTTGTTTATTTGGTCATGTTGACCGTGAAAACTGCTTTTGAACAGGGCGGAGCTTGTTCAACATTTCAACCTGGCGGCTTTTCAAGAATATTTGTTTTGAGTGGCTGGGCGCTTGTAAAGTAAACACCACTTCCTTTACCGATTGAACTCCCGTGTTAAAGAAAAGGGGAATGTTTACCATTCACCGTGCTCACATTGTCCAATAAGGCGAGGTTATGGGTGCTGCACACAGAAAAGGGGTATTAATGAGATGGAGGGTTAAGTTATAATGGGGCATTCTGTTGCCACTCACTGACCACAGGGTGCGCTAGTTGTCTGGTACTAAATGATAGTATTATATATTTAAAATTTTGTATACTATGACGCCCCTGATACCAGATCATTCTATCCTTATGGTGGGAGGCAACCTGATGGCCCTTTGCCCATAGAGAGGTACAGTTTATAGTGCTGCTTTAGATTGAGGGCCCGCTTTACAGAGCATCAGCCAGTGCTTGTCACTTTTGCGAATAGATGAAGCCACGCCTGCTTTAGAACGAAGAATCCTCAAAACACACACACACACACACACACACACACAGACAGATATATTTATATATAGAATAATATGAGATCTATTACATTGGATGTATGCGAATTACGCTGTTATATTAAGTGATATGTTTACGACGCACTCTGGCATATTTAATTGGTCTTTTACAAATCGCTAGCATGCAATGATGATATACCGATAGATAGGCCTATAATTAGTTTCGAATATTAAAATAATATCCACACATTTTGTCAGTAGCAAACATTTATTTATGGAAGATTTCTGAACTCAACCCGTTTTAATATATCTTAATATTAAAATATACCACAGTCTCTTGTTTGAGAGCTCAAAATTAAAACCCGTTTTATTCTTTTGTTAAAATGAACATCACAATAAGTGTGGGGAAAAAACGGCGTTGCAGGCGTTTCGGTTTCAGACTGACGACGATTTATTAGCGTTTAATCTTACAGCCCCCGCAAATAAATATTATGCACTTAGGGACTATTGCCTAATGGTACATGCGCTTATATAAACTATATGATGAGAAGAAAACGAATCAACTGTCCTCCCTTTCTCAGAGCTATGTATTCTAATTATTACAATCTCGTGGCGATGATCCTACTCCCCAAGCTGACTAATTGCATTCAAAAGTTCTAGAACTTCTGGAAGAATAAAGCTGCAGCGACAATCGTGACGATCTGGACGATAGAGGGCAGTAGGTTTGAGGCGGAGTTGCAGTTATCGGTGTTGCAGTAGCAGGACTCCGTAGAACCGCTGGCCAGACCAGAGATGCCTGCGGTGCTGCTGGAACAGGTGAACGAGGTCGGGGTGGTGGAGGCGCATCCCCTGGTGTACGTTGTTGACGATCCTGGGGAATTAAAGATTAGAAAATTATAACGTAAAGAGACAAGTGCGTCAGTATACAGAGAAGTTAATCTTGAATTAAATAAAATTCATTGATTTAACTTGAAAAGTAGTCAGTGCACTGACCTCAGCCAAAATAACTCATTTTTCATTATTTATTTATTTATTTATTTATTTATTTAAGGAATAAATATGTATTGTATTTTGGCCTATTCGAGTTAATTTCTTGCTATTTGGCACTGAGATTACCAAAAACGGGCCTACAATGGAATATTGATCACTGATTGCTCTATTTAGATGAACTAGGCATGCGGGCTTATCCTGAATTATACTTTTTGAATTCTTTATTATTATTATCATTATTATTTTCTTCTATTTATCGATTTTTTAAAATCGGTCGTGATCTTACCCAAGAAAGTATCCACGGTGGTTGTAGCCTTGTAGCATGCCGTGGTACAGTTGCCGGAGAGGGAGCTAGGGTTACTCACTGTAAACGCTCCGTCACACCCACTGTTCAGAACGCTGGTGCAGGTATAGCAGGTAAAGGCGGTACCTGTGGGAGAAATAAAAGAGGTGAACACAGCATTTCGTCGTGTGATTAATCACTGGTTTCCCTGGTGTTGCTGTATTGGGTTATCGCGTAATTTTAAGGGAGAAAGGGGGTAGTAGTAACCGATAAAGAAAAATGATTAATTCATTGGTTTCCCAAGTGCTGCTGAACATGATGATGCATGGGCAGTGCATAAATGGTGAAAGGGAAAGTTATAATGTCAGTGTGAACAGATGATTTTGACATTTTGTATTTTTTCAGTTATCTCAGTATCCGACCCACCAACCAACCAACACATACACACACACACACACACACACACACACGCACACACACACACTCATTACTAGCAAACAAGCGCGAGCACACATGCAAACACAACTGCAACCGCTCGAAGACCACACCCAAGAGGACATAACACGTTCACAATAAATGCGTCCTTGGGGCCCATGTTAAGATAGCAGTTTGAGGATTTCACCTGTTTCAAAAACAAACACTCGCCTTGAAAATATTGAGCCAAACAGTCAACAAATTTGATGCTAATCCCCTACTCTCTGCCAGAGCCAAAGATTGACTTTTCACTTGATATTAACAGATATGTCTCTGGTTAAATAGATGACTGATCTCTGTACTCACCTCAGCAAAAATGTCCACAATAATAACTGCGGCCCTAGAAGAGGGTACTAATTCCCTATGTAGGTGAGTTTGGGGTTTGGATAGCTTTGCGTGACTAGCATACCTTACATACATCTAAATTTGATGATGGTAGAACAGCAATAGGGGAATCTACAAGTGACCAACCGAAGTCCTTGAAAAGATATAAATTATCTAAAAGCGCGATCAATATCACACCTCTTTAAATGCTTAAAAAAACCCACACCTCCCTTTAGGCGACTCTCTCTACCCAAGAAGTTGTAAAGAAATCTCTTTACAACCTCTTTTTCTTCCTGAATCAAATGTTGCCTTTTTCTCAAACTGTATAAAAAAATAAAAGTTATACTTACCATCTTTATCATCATTCAGAGCCTAACGTGTTCCACCGTTGGACAAACGCGTCAGCATGTTTATTATATAAATAAAACTGAGAATAAGGGAAATTCAGAAGACACAGGTTTCAAGCAGCCCTGCATATGTTTATCGAGAGAGAGCGGGAGAGAGAGAGAGTGCTCGTAATTACATTATACTCACATGTAGCCAGCATTGCCGCCAAAGTGAACAAAATTGTCAGTGTATTCATCCTGTCTGTATCTGTAAATGTGCAAATTTCTCATATAAAAATTCAACAGTCCGAGACAGCTCAATAAATCCCTCCGTTCCGCTTAACTCACTGGTCAGAAAAGTGAGGATCAACATTACTGTGGCAGCTGACCAAGAACCTCCCTGGGTAACGCACACAACGTCACCATGGCAAACAGTAAATAAGTGAGCTGGTAGAGGGCAGCTTAACATATTGATTTCGCTGTTCAAATTTTGTCCAGTATTCAGATAAGACTAAGCAGATGACGGGTGCTTGTAAGATCCGACGTATTAATAAATATGTTTCAAATCTTAGGGTTCATTCCCAAAGACACTATCGGTCAACGTAGGTCGATCCAACTCCGTGGGAACTTAAGCTCTATGTAGTCAGTAAAACAGATTAATGCGTCTTCTCCTGGCATTAAAAAAAAAAAAAACAGAAAAGCTGGTTACTTCTCCTGGCATAAAAACAGAAAAGGATACAGAAGGAGAGTCATTAAGTTAAGCTGATTGCACTCGACTCAAATATTTATTTAATTATTTATTATTATTATTATTATTTTTTTATTTATTTATTATAATTATTATTATTATTTTTTTTTTTTTTTTTTGCGAAATGACCGACCCACCAAAGATAGCTTTTAACCAATTGCATTAGGCCTTCTCTACAACTTCTTTGTCCGCGGATCAGTTGGTCCGCGGATTATCTGTTCTAAACGCGACCTTAGACAACACATCAGATCAATATGGCACAGGATGAAGTGCACTTCATTTACACCAGTAAAAATGTGTAACGCAGAGAACAACTCATTCTTACAGCTTGGAAGAGCATCCCAACTAGTCTCCGCGAGGCCACCTCTTATATCGGTAAAACGCTACACTCCACTTCCTTTGTTTGCCTTTTTACTTATTTTACTTATTACACAATATACGGTTGTATTCGCACGGTAGGGAGAGTGGTTGGGAACTTGTACAGTATGCATATGAAGATATACGAGAGCCAAGTCCTCGAGAAATAAAAAAACAATAAAGGACGGTTACCCAGCATTTAGTTGTTCAGACAAGTTTAATGCCATGCACTGTACGATCACGGTCTCTTTGACATACGTACCAACGTAATTCCAAAAACAATGAACATACTATGGCAGTAGGCCTACATATATAAGTCACGTCAGTGACACACACATATTGAAAAGTATTTTCACATCACTTTTCAATTATGGTTATTTATTTTCATACTGCAAGGTACTTAAGTATAAAACCGTGATAATAATGGAGAAAGTCAAAATTATGCAAATATTACACAAAATGTATACGTCACTGACATGGCTCAATGTTCGCTTTTTGTGTGACGTGACCTATCACAGAGAGCTTATTGAATTACGCATTTTTAATGATCGTATGTAATCATACATCAAATCTTGCATAATTTGTGTAACTTTTAACGCGGCAACATATTTTTCAATAAACAAGTTGCATAAGCACTTCTTTATTATTCATGCACATGCTGATGCGGCTTGTCTGTGTTAACGGAGTTACATACAGTAATAAGAATATAATACCAAGATCAAGATCAAGATATTTTATTTAAGTCTCACCCATAAAAAAGGAATACAAATTAAGATCAATAAAACGTGACAGTTCCATACAGAGCTATGAGACACTGAATATCACAAAAATATACATGAAAACATAAATATACCGTTAAAAAACATTGAAAGTGCATTGTACATACATGTGCTGTGACACTTAGCTATTCAAAATTTAAGAAATGATATAAAATCATTACGTTAAATTATTTAATGATTGATACCTATATATAAAAGCAACTTGTCTAAATGCTGTGCTCGGGNTCGAACGAAGAATCCTCAAAACACACACACACACACACACACACACACACACACAGATATATTTATATATAGAATAATATGAGATCTATTACATTGGATGTATGCGAATTACGCTGTTATATTAAGTGATATGTTTACGACGCACTCTGGCATATTTAATTGGTCTTTTACAAATCGCTAGCATGCAATGATGATATACCGATAGATAGGCCTATAATTAGTTTCGAATATTAAAATAATATCCACACATTTTGTCAGTAGCAAACATTTATTTATGGAAGATTTCTGAACTCAACCCGTTTTAATATATCTTAATATTAAAATATACCACAGTCTCTTGTTTGAGAACTCAAAATTAAAACCCGTTTTATTCTTTTGTTAAAATGAACATCACAATAAGTGTGGGGAAAAAACGGCGTTGCAGGCGTTTCGGTTTCAGACTGACGACGATTTATTAGCGTTTAATCTTACAGCCCCCGCAAATAAATATTATGCACTTAGGGACTATTGCCTAATGGTACATGCGCTTATATAAACTATATGATGAGAAGAAAACGAATCAACTGTCCTCCCTTTCTCAGAGCTATGTATTCTAATTATTACAATCTCGTGGCGATGATCCTACTCCCCAAGCTGACTAATTGCATTCAAAAGTTCTAGAACTTCTGGAAGAATAAAGCTGCAGCGACAATCGTGACGATCTGGACGATAGAGGGCAGCAGGTTTGAGGCGGAGTTGCAGTTATCGGTGTTGCAGTAGCAGGACTCCGTAGAACCGCTGGCCAGACCAGAGATGCCTGCGGTGCTGCTGGAACAGGTGAACGAGGTCGGGGTGGTGGAGGCGCATCCCCTGGTGTACGTTGTTGACGATCCTGGGGAATTAAAGATTAGAAAATTATAACGTAAAGAGACAAGTGCGTCAGTATACAGAGAAGTTAATCTTGAATTAAATAAAATTCATTGATTTAACTTGAAAAGTAGTCAGTGCACTGACCTCAGCCAAAATAACTCATTTTTCATTATTTATTTATTTATTTATTTATTTAAGGAATAAATATGTATTGTATTTTGGCCTATTCGAGTTAATTTCTTGCTATTTGGCACTGACATTACCAAAAACGGGCCTACAATGGAATATTGATCACTGATTGCTCTATTTAGATGAACTAGGCATGCGGGCTTATCCTGAATTATACTTTTTGAATTCTTTATTATTATTATAATCATTATTATTTTCTTCTATTTATCGATTTTTTAAAATCGGTCGTGATCTTACCCAAGAAAGTATCCACGGTGGTTGTAGCCTTGTAGCATGCCGTGGTACAGTTGCCGGAGAGGGAGCTAGGGTTACTCACTGTAAACGCTCCGTCACACCCACTGTTCAGAACGCTGGTACAGGTGTAGCAGGTAAAGGCGGTACCTGTGGGAGAAATAAAAGAGGTGAACACAACATTTCTTCGTGTAGACCGAGACATGCGCTTAATCACTGGTTTCCCTGGTGTTGCTGTATTGGGTTATCGCGTAGTTCTAAGGGAGAAAAGAGGGGAGTGGTAATTAATAAAGCTAAATGATTAATTCAATGGTTTCCCAAGTGCTGCTGAACCTGCATGGGCAGTGCATATATAAGATGTGAAAAGGAAAGTTACCATGTCAGTATGAAGGGGTGATTTTAACATTTTTTTTCAGGTATCTCAGTATCCGACCCACCAACCAACACACACACACACACACACACACACACACACACACACACACACATAATTTGCAAAGACAAGCGCGCGCACACACACATGCAAACACAACCAAAACCGCTCGAAGACCACACGCAAGAGGACAAAACACGTTCACAAGAAATGCGTCCTTGGGGCCCATGTTAAGATAGCAGTTTGAGGATTTCACCTGTTTCAAAAACAAACACTCGGCTTGAAAATATTGAGCCAAACAGTCAACAAATATGATGCTAATCCCCTACCCTCTACCAGAGCCACAGATTGACTTTTCACTAGATATTAACAGATATGTCTCTGGTTAAATAGATGGCTAATCTCTGTACTCACCTCAGCAAAAATGTCCACAATAATAACTGCGGCCCTGGAAGAGGGTACTAATTCCCTATGTAGGTGAGTTTGGGGTTTGGATAGCTTTGCGTGACTAGCATACCTTACATACATCTAAATTTGATGATGGTAGAACAGCAATATTTGACAGCACACAAAGAAAGTCGCCCAGATGTGGGATGACAGTGGATTTTGATCCGATCATCGGATCGAGATTTTCTCGGGGATTGATTTTGGAAATGCATAAAGACACATTATACGTTATACATAATTGTGAGCATATTTTCAGCCTAAGACCCCATTCCCAGTGATTAGATCGATCCAAACTAGATCGACCTAACTCCCTGGGGGTTCACGCTAAATAGCTGTCAGCCGAGCGGGCACGAATGTTAATTACCCCCTTACAGCTTGTAGTAGGCGGGACGGACATTTAAGCCGGATTATCTGACAGTAATCTAGTGAGACTCCCCACGGGGATAGATCTATCTAAAATCTATGGGAATACGCCCTTACAGTCAATGCCATAGCTTATTTCTTTAACTAGGACGACATTGACCCATGTAGACTTGGACTGGTCACTGACTGTCCACCTGAGCGATGGGGTGACCATAGGTGGAATCTACAAGTGACCAACCGAAGTCCTTGAAAAGATATATTATCTAAAAGCGCGATCAATATCGCACCTCTTTAAATGCTTTAAAAAAAAACCACACCTCCCTTTAGGCGACTCTCTCTACGCAAGAATTTGTGTAAAGAAATCTCTTTACAACTTCTTTTTCTTCCTGAATCAAATGTTGCCTTTTTCTCAAACTGTATAAAAAAATAAAAGTTATACTTACCATCTTTATGATCATTCAGAGCCTAACGTGTTCCACCGTTGGACAAACGCGTCAGCATGTTTATTTTATAAATAAAACTGAGAATAAGGGAAATTCAGAAGACACAGGTTTCAAGCAGCCCTGCATATGTTTATCGAGAGAGAGCGGGAGAGAGAGAGTGCTCGTAATTACATTATACTCACATGTAGCCAGCATTGCCGCCAAAGTAAACAAAATTGTCAGTGTATTCATCCTGTCTGTATCTGTAAATGTGCAAATTTCTCATATAAAAATTCAACAGTCCGAGACAGCTCAATAAATCCCTCCGTTCCGCTTAACTCACTGGTCAGTAAAGTGAGGATCAACATTACTGTGGCAGCTGACCAAGAACCTCCCTGGGTAACGCACACAACGTCACCATGGCAAACAGTAAATAAGTGAGCTGGTAGAGGGCAGCTTAACATATTGATTTCGCTGTTCAAATTTTGTCCAGTATTCAGATAAGACTAAGCAGATGACGGGTGCTTGTAAGATCCGACGTATCAATAAATATGTTTCAAATCTTAGGGTTCATTCCCATAGACACTATCGGTCAAAGTAGGTCGATCCAACTCCGTGGGAACTTAAGCTCTATGTAGTCAGTTAAACAGATTAATGCGTCTTCTCCTGGCATAAAAAAAAAAAAAACACAGAAAAGCTGGTGACTTCTCCTGGCATAAAAACAGAAAAGCTGGTGACTATAAGGATACAGAAGGAGAGTCATTTAGTTAAGCTGATTGCACTCGACTCAAATATTTATTTATTTATTTATTAATTATTATTATTATTATTATTATTATTATTTTATTTATTTATTTTTTTTTTTTGCGAAATGACCGACCCACCAACGATAGCTTTTAAAGGGATAATAACTCTTCGTATGAGATCTATATTTCACAATAAAAACATTGTGAATAACTCATAGAAATATAATATATTCTGTTTTACCACAAAAACGGCAGTTATACCTATTATTCTGATATCTGAGATTTTCTTTAGACCGCGTGACCTCCATTGATGGCTATACTCTGCTAAAATCTCTTAAGAGATTTTAACAAAAAACCAAACTTTTTAGAAAAAAACCAGGGACTAACTTTGAATGTAAAAATGGATTCATTAACCATTGGTAAGTATGGGAAAATTGTTGTTTACTCCAGGAAAATTCATTTTTTGGCCGAAACGAAGAGTTATTATCCCTTTAACCAATTGCATTAGGCCTTCTCTACAACTTCTTGGTCCGCTGATCAGTTGGTTCGCGGATCATCTGTTCTAAACGCGACCTTACACAACACATCAGATCAATATGGCACAGGATGAAGTGCACTTCATTTATACCAGTAAAATGTGTAACGCAGAGAACAACTCATTCTTACAGCTTGGAAATGCATCCCAACTAGTCTCCGCGAAGCCACCTCTTATATCGGTAAAACGCTACACTCCACTTCCTTTGTTTGCCTTTTTACTTATTATATTTATTACACAATATACGATTGTATTCGCACGGTAGGGAGAGTGGTTGGGAACTTGTACAGTATACATATGAAGATATACGACAGCCAAGTCCTCGAGAAATTAAAAACAATAAAGGACGGTTACTCAGCATTTAGTTGTTCAGACAAGTTTAATGCCGTGTACTGTACGAACACGGTCTCTTTGACATACGTACCACCGTAATTCCAAAAAACAATGAACATACTATAGTAACTATGGCAGTACATATATAAGTCACGTCAGTGACACACACATATTAAAAAGTATTTTCACATCACTTTTCAATTATGGCTATTTATTTTCATACTGCAAGGTACTTTAGTATAAAACCGTGATAATAATGGAGAAATGTATACGTCACTGACATGGCTCAATGTTCGCTTTTTGTGTGATATGACCTATCACAGAAAGCGTATTGAATTACACATTTTTAATGATCGTATGTAATCATACATCAAATCTTGCATAATTTGTGTAAACTTTAACGCGGCAACATATATTTTTCAATAGACAAGTTGAATAAGCACTTCTTTATTATTCATGCACATGCTGATGCAGCTTGACTGTGTTAACGGAATTACATATGGTAATAAGAATATAATACCAAGATCAAGATATTTTATTAAAGTCTCACCCATAAAAAAGGAATACAAACAAAGAACAATAAAACGTGGCAGTTCCATACAGAGCTATGAGACACTGAATATCACAAAAATATACAAGAAAACATAAATATACCGTTGAAAAAACATTGAAAGTGCAGTGTACATATACATACATGTGCTGTTACACTAAGCTATTCAAAATTTGACAAATGATATAAAATCATTACGTTAAATTATTTAATGATTGATAACTATATATAAAAACAACTTGTCTAAATGCTGTGCTCCCGTTTTCATAAATACAGTGCATAGCAGGCCCGTAGCTGGGGGAGGGGAGGGGGAAGGGGGGGGAATGGTTCGAAAGAACCGTTCTTTTTGCCGAGAAAGTTCCTTTTTTGGGTAAAATTTTGTCTAGGTCCACGAAGGTTTCATTATAATAGGTACACTATTTCAGAAAAAAACTACTTTTGACATTGCTGGCTACGGGCCTGATAATCATGAGATCACGACAGATTGCTCCAGTCCATTCATCGTCTGGGATTTTACAGTTTGAAAAGCTCATTTACAGTTGATAATAGCTGATACAGAATAAAATAATTAATATCTTAAAATTAATGCGTCTAACTTTACAGTTGATACTTGTTGATACTGACTAAAATAGCTCATGTAAACCATTCAAATCCTTTCTCAAAGTTCTCTGTTCCTCTTCTTGTTATTTCAGCTCACGGTCCCAAACATTACATATCGTGCAATTTATATTTAAAACTTCTGAAAGAAAAGAACTGCAGAGACAAACACGACGATCTGGATGATAGAGGGCAGCAGGTTTGACGCGGAGTTGCACAAACTGCTGCCGCAGTAGCAAGTCTCCGTGGAACCGCTGGCGATAAAGTATCCAGCACTGCCCGAGGAGCAGGTCAGAGAATACGAAGAACGTGAGGTGCATCCCCTGGAGTACGTGGTGCTAGACCCTGGATAAAATGGCATAAATTGATGAAAACCAAACAAACAAATGAATAGAAAAAGGTAAAAAAAGTAAACGAGATAGGGAAATAACAAATAAGTAACCCACCTAACAAAATAGCGACATAGCCAGACAAAAATTGTATTTATCAATTATTTAGCCTTAAATTTTCGTCGAACTCTCTCATACAAAGAAGTACGGTTCTCGATGATACTGTGGTTCATTTTTGTGCTCTACCTAGAATAGAGTCCACTGTAGAAACGGTCTTGTAGCATGCGGTGTAACAGTACACTGTATAGGAGCTACTTGCCCTGAAGATCTCTCCGCACGAGGAGCTCTTGGAACCGCTACAGCTGTAGCAGGAAAAGGCGTCACCTGAAGGATTAATGTAAAAAATAGCAATTAAAATAAACAGAACATTGCATTATTACAGCGGATTTTTATGGTATCTTTCTGCGGTGTCGTTTCTAAAAGTAAAAACAGCTACGTATAGTGAGGTAACCGTAACCCACGGAGGGTTATAAACACTGCACTTGCTTATCCCAGGTGTCTGTATAGTAATAATAATGACGATTTTATTAACGTCTCACGTTTAAAAATTAAATCCACCCTACTAAAGGTTATGAGAGACTAAAACCTGTGAATGTACAACTAAATTAATAAAAGCTCTTAAAAGTAAATTATTGATCATTTAAACACAAAGAAAGTAGTATTACTGTATATATGAAACCTTCTCAATCTTTCTCGTCTGTATTAAATCTTTGCATGGTAGTTAAACACGGTTGAAATTCAACTCTACCTGGATAGTATTTCAATTTGATAAAAACTGTAGGTTAAAGCTCTTACGTTCAATGTATAATTCCGTACAAGGAGAATATATATAAATCGAACTCTCCTAAAACCAGATGCAATCAGTATCCCGAATATCTAAATGATACAAATTTATATCTTATATATTTGCACAGGTAAAGGTATACTATGCGTGTATAAAAATGTCCCAATGCCATTTTGGTCTTGTCCAAATATCCACCAAAGTTAGGCTACTTATCTTCCCAATTCAGGAATTAAAAACAAATTAAAGTATTTGACGTCTACTAAACATTTTAATATGTACAGAAAGACATATGGCCTTCAGACATTTAGAGCTTAATTATTTATTTAGGAATGGTATAAAACATTGAATCCAAGTGTAGGCCATGTTCGCACGATGATGCATGAGTAGGAATAATTGCTTTTTTTCTCAAAAAAATCGAATTGAGGAGAAAAAAGCCCGATAAAACCTTTAATTTCACCTTAGTGTAACCAATTATGAAAAATAAACACTTCAGTCCACAATGGGTTCCACCAAACACCGCAAAATTGTATAATGCAAACTCACCGATAATCATCGATTATTCATAAATCTGAACAATCTCAGCTCAGCTTGTTTTTGCCAATATTCAACTCAGGTAATGATGTAAGTTATAGTTTATTTTAAGATTAAAACTGAAAATTTCAAATACAAATCAGTCCCTTTAGCCTGTAACTTCAAGCTTGTGATACGTAATATTGGCAGTAACCTCCCTAATACCTCTTCACCGGCTCTGCACTATTATTCTGATTTGTGCAACAGTGCGTTAGCCATAAACAGGTATTGTATATACAGACGTTATCATAAAGAGGTGCGCCCGCGCGAGGACAATGAAGATGTCATGAAGTGGAAGGAGGCAGGTCAAACTTGACACGTCACATAAGACTTAAATTCTGGGGCTCGGATTACCGCCTGAATGCGCTATTTGCCGAATTCAGCTCCGTCTCAGATAAATCATTTTTTTCCGGAAGCGGATGGTTTGTTGCACCGGCCTTTTTAGCAACCTCTGAGCTAAGGTGCTAACAGGAGGTCAGTCTAAGTGAGGGTTAACACCGTGTTCCCTGGGCAACAAAGTGTTTTATGGCAACGAAATCAACTTCTTCCTGGGGTTAGTGTAGAAAACGACTTTTGTTAAAACGGTGCCAGGCGGGACCGCACAAGATGAATCAAGGCGTTCTCCCATTTGATGTTATTTACGTGAAAGCGAATCGATCGTTACTGCGCAATTCAGCAAAGCGAAAGTGGCTTGACCTTAAACTAATTAAACCATTGTTTTGTCTCTTCTAGAAGTCCCTCCCATTCAGTGTACTGAAGAGAAAATGCCCTTAAAATGAAAATTATAAAAACCTGTAAAAAGCTGGTTTGTTAAAGCTGGTTTGGAAATGTCGCACTTTTGTTTTAGAATCATCCTTCCCCACCCACAAGTGCACACACATACGAGCGCGCGCGTGCACATATGTAGAAAGAATTTAAAGCGAAATTTAATTAATAAAAAGTAATTTGTGTAATAAAAAGTAGAGCAATTCGAGCACACCTTTTCTTTTAGACACTTAGTTTGATGTAACACGGATCATCAAAATATACCGTGTACTTACAAGTTGCCAGTGTCGCAGCCAGCGCGATCAAAACTGCCAGGGTCTTCATCTTGTTTCTTCTCGAAAGTCAACTTTACTACAACGTTGCACTGTAAATAACGTCAGGGAGCAGGTAAATCCCACCGTTTTGTTTGTCAGTCGGCTTGTGCAGTCAGAGCAGATCAACGTTTTTTTGCTTCTCCTATGAAAGTACCCAGCAGCCTTCATAACATAAACAATATCCGGTCACTATGGCTACAAGAAAAGGTGAGCCATTTTCATATCGGGGTTAGAATAACAGTGCTACAAAAGAACGGGGTTTCAAACGCACAATAGAACAAAAACAAATTTTGTTACCGGTTCACTGCTTTTTTATCTTTTAAAGATTAATACGGCAGTCACTTAACGTGCAGGATTATCATGGCTCCCGCGAGAACTGCCACCTAGGGGACACCTCATTGTGTATCTACTAACATCACAGACAGCAGATGTGTGCGTCTCGTTACAATACTACGTCACGCAGGTGACTTTGGCGTGTAGGAGACATTTAATTCCAACAAAATATCATTTTGTGGTGCAAAATAGACCAAACATAATTTTCTTGATAGCTTAATTTATTGTTTAGAAGATTCTTAATATAAATCAGTCTTTAGAGTGCTGCAACATCAAAAACTTAAAAAATTCATGCGCTCGAAGTGTTGACACACATTGATTCCCCACCAAAAAGTGTCATCCCTTCCCCATAATAACATGCAGCTAGGCAACCGATCAGCGCGAAGATTGGGGATGTAGAATATTGACCTACATGTACATGCACTTACTGGTATTCCAAAAAATAAAGAAGCACTGATCTCAAATCCACCATTATTCCGAAGGTTCGGTTATCCGAAGGTTCAGTATTCCGAAAAAGGACATTGATGCAGTGGCTGCATTAGTCGCGTAATAGAGGCGAATCTGACCTCTGTGCCAATTTTTTTTTGCGTATTTCCCGTCAGGAACCGTCCACGTTGAGTCATATGGTATACCAGAACTATGACATGAACAGCGGCCAACAACTGGACAATGATACTGTTCTTAGATGAAAGCGGGTTCAGTGTTGTCAGAAGTGATTGACGCGTAAGGGTTTGAAAAACAGCGGGTATGAATTTATCTTCCAAATTTTCTGACTCTCGTCGACAGCACGCAGCCCACATAGTTCATGGTATGGGCTGTATTTGCCACTATGGTGTAGGCGAACTAGCAGTGGTCAATGGGAACCTGAACGCAGAGCAATGCATCCAAGTACTGGAACAGGAACTTAAGGAACTGTGTTGAAAATATATTAGGGGATCATGACCGACCAGTTATGTTTCAACATGGTAATATTACTCCACGTACAGTCAATGCAACAGTAGGCTGGTTATATGCGAACGCGATCCAGCCCCCCCCCCCCCCCCCCCAATGGCCAGCGCAAATATGCTATTTTTGTGATAAATAGTGATTTTGAAAAGGTAAGTTTGAATAAGAAATTTATATAGATTTTAAGGACACTCCAGCGAATTCATAGTAACAAGCATTTCCCCCTTCATATTGTTCTGATCTGTTCTAGCTCGTAAGTGATCGTCTCAACTAACAAAACCCAGATTCTGGTGTCACATCTCACACAATTGTGTATAACAGGTTTTCTTAATTCGATCAAATTATTGTTTTCTACTTCAGTTCCTCTCATTTTCGATTTATTTCGAGGGAAACGCTTAGAAGAAGTAGGTACATATGACAAATTAAATGAAAAAATTCAGTCTCATTATCTTAAATACATATATAGGCTATAGATTTACAGAATTATAAAGGTATAGAAGAAGATTGTAGTTCGTTAAATGCCGTTACTATTTGTCGCCAATTTTAAGTGTGCTTTTATTTTCGGACACATATTATGTATTCTAAATCATCTGGAAGAAAAGACCTGCAACAGCAATTATGGCAATCTGGACAATAGAGGGCAGCAGGTTTGAGGCCAAGTTGCACAAGTCGCTGTTACAAAAGCAAATTTTAGTGGAGACGCTGTAGACCCCTTCTCCATCGGTCTTCTCGGTGCAAGACATAGTACCTGGAGGTGGAGCTTCGCAGCTCCGTGAGTAGGCCGTTACAGTTGACCCTGGATGGTACAAATTGACGAAAAAAAAAAGTTAATGAATTATGCTAATCATTATTAAAGAGATGGCAGATAAAAAATAGCAATTATATTTACGAAATGGATAAATGAATAGACAGACAGATAAAAAAAAATATTAACTAATCAATTAATTTTCCTTATAATTTAGTCGGAACTCTTTTATCCAAAAGAACACCGTTATTTATTATCGTTAATAAAAAGAATCTTTTTCTGTTGTACCTCGAACAGGGTCCTTCCCTGTAGTAACTATCTTCACGCACGCGATGTCACAGGCCACTGTAGTGGTGATAGTAGCACTGAAGGCCTCTCCTTACCCTTCGTTGAAAAGACTGTTACAGTAATAGCATTTTAGTGCATCACCTTTAAAGATGTACTGTCTGAAAATGAAAACTGGCGGGGAGTTTATATTCTACGTTCTGTCCCTTGGATGCAGCGTTGTAAATTTATCTTTCGAGAGGCCCAGGATACCACCTTAGTGCAGCGCGGGAGTGAAATTAGATATGAACTGATAAATTACTAAATATTTACATGTATATGTGTGTATATTTTAATGCATATACATGTATATCACTGGTTCTCAACATATACATGTGGGTCCAGTGGAACTTCACTTACATCAGTCTAGCAAATTAAAACACCAAAAAACAAATTACTAGATCTGCTTTAAAAAAAAAAAAAAAAAAACATACAGACTAAAATTAACACTTTCGTTGATGTCGCTTACAGCACTAACTAGTTTATTTTTTACTAAAGTAGAACATTTTCAGCTTGACAGGAAACGGGTATGATGTCTAACGTCTCAGAAAATGTCTACAGTGTTTATTTTAAATAACGCAATAAATAGCCTGCGTGGTCGACGGCTTTATAAACTAAAAAAATCGTTACTTATTTGTCACAGGTCATTATTTTTTAGTTGTCAAAAAATATGTAATTCAGAGTAATTCAGAGAACAACTCATTCTTACAGCTTGGAAGAGCATCCCAAATAGCCTCCGCGAGGCCACCTCTTATATCGGTAAAACGCTACACTCCACTTCCTTTGTTTGCCTTTTTACTTATTATATTTATTACACAATATACGATTGTATTCGCACGGTAGGGAGAGTGGTTAGGAACTTGTACAGTATACATATGAAGATATACGAGAGCCAAGTCCTCGAGATATTAAAACCAATCAAGGACGGTTACCCAGCAATTAAGTGTTTAGGCAAGTTTAATGCCATACACTGTACGATCACGGTCTCTTTGACATACGTACCAACGGCATTCCAAAAAAAAAAAAAAAATAATAATAATAAAATAAAACAATGAACATACTGTGCCAGTACAATATATATAAGTCAGTGACACACACACATAATGTAAAGTTTTTTTTACATTACTTTTCAATTGTGGTTATTTATGTCCATACTGGAGGGTACTTTCTTTAGTATAAAACAGTGATAATAATGGAGAAAGTCAAAATTATGCAAATATTACACAAAGTGTGTACATTAATGTACACACTCTCAATGTTCACTGTTATATGGAATGATAATTTGCATAATTTGTGTAACCTTTAACGTGGCAACATAATATTTTTCAGTAGCCAAGTTGAATAAGCACTTCTTTATTATTCGTGCCCATGCTGCTGCGGCTTGACAGTGTAAACGAAGTTACATGTAGTAATAAGAATATAATACCAAAATCAAGATCAAGATATTTTATTTAAGTCTCACCCATAAAAAAAGGAATACAAATTAAGAACAGCAAAACGTGACAGTTCTATACAGAACTATGAGAGACTGAATATCACATAAAATATACATGAAAACATTAGTAAACCATTAAAAAACATTGAAAGTGCAGTGTACATGTACATACATGTGCTGTTACACTAAGCTATTCAAAATTTAAGAAATGATATAAAATCATTACGTTATATTATTTAATGATTGATACCTATATATAAAAACTACTTGTCTAAATGGTTGTGCTCTAAATGGGGGTTCGAAAAAAACGCCCTTTTGCCGGGAAAAGGTCCATTTTGAGTAAAATTTTGTCTAGGTACACGAAGTTTTCATTGTAAAAGGTCCACTATTTCAGAAAAAGAACCCCCCTTTGCATTGCGGGCTGCGGGGCTGATAGTTATGAAATCACGAGAAGGAAAGTAAATAAAATAAAAAAGAAATAAAATAATCCATGAAAATAATTGGAAACCTTTCTTAAAGTTCTATGTTTCACTTCTTGATATTTCAGCTCACAGTCTCAAACGCTATATATCATGCAATGTATTTAAAACGTTTGACAGAACAAGCTGCAGCGAAAAACACGACGATCTGGACGATAGAGGGCAGCAGGGTAGAGGCGGAGTTGCACAAATTGCTGCCGCAATTGCAATACACCGTGGATCCACTGTAGCCGGAGGTGCCACTACTACTACTGGCACAGGTAATGGGATTATAAGAACCTGAGGCGCATCCCCTGGTGTACACGGTGCGAGAGCCTGAATTAAATGGCATAGTTTGATGAAAAAACAAACAACTTAATTAATAAAATTGGTAAAAAGAGTTAATGAGATAGATAAATAAAAGATATTCGACTGACCTACCTCCTAACTAACTGAACAAATAGCCAGCCAAATAAACAACTGTATTAATCAATTTATTGTCCTTAAAATTATTATAGAACTCTTTTATACAGATAAGTGAAGTTCACAGTGACGGACTTATGGGGGTGAGAGGGTCCTGACCCCCTTCGATTTCTGAAAATCCAATGGTCCCTCCTCAAATTAGAATTTCGACTAGCCGAATCATAGTTCTCGACAGAACGAAATGGCACAGTTCCCCCTCTAAAATACCAAAAATTTTGCGGCCCTTCAGCAGGCCCCGAACCCCACGCCAAGGTAGCTTCGTATCGGTGGACCCCCCCCCCCCCCCCCTTCAAATTAGCCTGGATCCGTCCGTGTTTTTTTATTTGGTAGACGATATTTTATTTTTTGTACTTTACCTAGAAAGGTATCCAATGTGCTAACGGTCTTGTAGCACGCAGTGTAACAGGTCACTGTATTTACGCTGCTTTCACTGAATATCTCTCCACACGAGGAACTCTCGGAACCGTAACAGCTGTAGCAG